ACTGATGACATCTTCAGAGACTATTTCCAAACAAGGTCATGTTCACAGGTACCAGCAGTTAGAACATCAACGTATCTTTTTAAGGGGCACAATTCAATCTATAACAGTGGGTATTGTTGAAGAGAGGTTCTGTCTGCCCTAGCTAGCTCACAGACTTGTTCCAAATCACACCAATGTGTGTTAAAGCACTATGAAAAGCGCCAAGTGTTCACTAGTTGAAGGAAAGCTGACTCACTGGGGTTACCAGCTAGAAAGTGGTGCAATCAGGGTTTGAGCCCGGGACTCCTGATTCCAAGTCCAGTGCTCTTGCCCTCACCCTCAGTGGGATCACTGAACAAGCATCAGAAATTGGTTGTGGTTCAAGGCTAGCAGCCCAGACCTGCGTGCCATCCTGCCCATGGATGCCCAGGCCTTAGCAGGATGACTGTGCATGTGTGTCTGTCCCCCTCCAGCAGGAGAGCATGCCCTTCGCGGTGGTGGGAAGTGACAAGGAGTACCAAGTGAACGGCAAGAGGGTCCTCGGCAGGAAAACTCCCTGGGGGATCATCGAAGGTAATTCAAGGCAACGTCTTGAAGAACTGGCAGCTGATCAATCATACAACACCCATTTATTAAACATCTATAGGTCAAGGGAGGAGCCCTGGTGGCGCAGTGGTTAAGCGCTTGGCCGCTAACCAAAAGGTTGAAGGTTTGAACCCACCAACCTCTCCACAGGAGAAAGATGTGGCAGTCTTCTTCCCTTAAGATTTACAGCTTTGGAAACCCTACGGGGGCAGTTCTACTCTGTCCTGTAGGGTCGCTATGATTTGGAATTGACTCCATGGCAACAAGTTTGATTTTTTGGTTTATAGGTCAAGGCACTGGCCTAGGAGCAAAAAAAAAACAAAACTGGTTTCCTTGAGTCAGTTCTAACTCATGGCGACCACATGTTCTGCAGAGTAGACCGGAGCCCCATAGGGTTTTCTTAGCTATAATCTTTATGGAAGCAGATCACTGGGCTGTTCTTCCACGGTGCTGCTGGGTGGGTTCAAAGGCCAGCCTGTTTGGTTAGCAGCCGAGAGCAAACCATTTGCGCCACCCAGGGAACATGGCCTAGGATACCAAACCAAACTCGTTGCCGTTGAGTCGATTCCAACTCCTAGCGACCTTATAGGACAGGGTAGAACTGCCCCATAGGGTTTCCAAAAATAGATGATATAAAACGAATGCCAGCCAGACCCTGCCCATAAGGAGCTTACCATCTAACCGGGAAGATAAGACTTAACAGGCAGGAAGCAGTGAGAGACCAGTTTAGCCCCGGACCTGGAGGCATTGACTTGGTATGTCAAAGGAGTTTAGAGCATTCGTAAGGTGTGGAAAATTCAAAGATAGGTTTTCAGTTGAAGTAAGATGTGATCTAACAAACTGCTGAAGGGTTGTTCAGATGTGACCATTTTAGTTTTATCATGAATGGATGACTTTGGGCAGATGATAATGACTCTGAAAGTTTTCAAAGAATCAGTGCAATTATCTCATTCAATATGATTACCCTGTGAGGGAAGCAGGATAGGTGTGATTGTTCTCAGAATATGAGCCAACAAAGGACTTGAGTCTCAGACAGGTTAAGTGTCTTGCCCAAGGTCATATAACTTGTTAGTGGTGAAAGTTGCACTTCACACTTGGATATTTTGATTCCAAAACTAAGGCCCATTCCAATGGATTGTGTTGTCTCATTTTCCTATGGTCCTTTGTTGGGATCATTTTTTTCTAGCATTTTCTCATTATCTTCCTTGAATTGGAATCATTTAGGAGAATGTCTGTCTCACCCATTAGGTTGTGAGGCTAGAAGGTTCATGTCTAAATCATTGTCCACCTCCCACAATCCTTGACAAGTGCTTTGCAAATAGTAGGCGCTCAATCTACGTTTGTTGGATTGAATTTATCATGTGTTTTCTATGTGTATTACTGTCTTCCAATCAGCTTATAAGCTCCTTAAGGATAGGAACTGCATCTTAGGCCTTGGACAAGTTTCTTTGACTCCCTGTGTCTTAATTTCCTCGTCTGTAAAATGGGAAAAATAATAATCCCCATTATCTATTACTTCACAGCATCTAGAACAGTCTTGTGCCTATTGTAGCCGCTTAATAAATATCTGTTCAATGAGTAAAATCAAGTCTACTGAAGTGGCAATATGCGAAAACCTCCAGAAGGGTTATACTAATTTGTCCTGTGGCTATCTCCTGAAAGTCCCCATGACCCTAACAGAAGTTCATCTGCTGGGGTTGCTGCATTAATGAACACCTGTTTTGTTTCGCTTTGTTCACAGTGGAAAACCTCAACCACTGTGAGTTTGCCCTGCTTCGAGACTTTGTCATCAGGTAAGATGCCCACCCCCCTACCCAGATGGCTGGTTTAACTTATTTGGGGTCAGAAGGGACTGTGAGTGTGACTGTTGAGACACACTTCCTCAGTCTCCAAGTCTCTCTCACAGAGCTTTCCACCCCAGGTCCAGCTCCTTCATGAAGCAGAAAGGGCTGCAGAAGCACCACTGGCTCTCTGGAGCAGGTCTCAGCTGTTGGGACTAGTCCATCGAAGCGATGGATTAGCCTCAGGTGTGGATCACCTCCTTCGCCCGCCCCTAATCTCAGCCCTCTCTCTTCCCACCCTGTGTCCTTCAGGACCCATCTCCAGGACCTCAAGGAAGTGACACACAACATCCACTACGAGACCTACAGGGCCAAGCGGCTCAATGACAATGGAGGCCTCCCTCCGGTGAGCGTGGACACAGAGGAAAGCCACAACAGTAACCCATGACGACCCCTTCTCTGTATCATCACACATAGCCACTTTTCCACACACACACATCTCAAATACCACCACCAACCACCTTCTTCCTTTCAACTCCGTCCCACAGGCCTGTCTGGTATTCGTAGAACATCTTGTCTACATATTGTGTGTGTGTGTGTGTGTGTGTGTGTATGTGTATGTATGCATCTATGAGGAGAGTGTGTGTGTGTGTGTCGTGTGTGTGTATGTGTGTGCAGGGTGAGGTATTTTTACTGCCCTCCCTGGAAAGTCCCTTGTAAGTTTGGTTCCTCCATGACTGTCCATTATCTGTCTCCTTTCCTCGTGTCCCAGAACAAAGCTGTGTGCCTCACTCAAGAGGTCTGGGAGAGGTTCCATTTAAAAATAATGGGAACAGGTGGGCCACACGCAACTCTTTCTCATCTCTGAATTTGCCCACAAACTGGGGCTGTAGAGATTCTCCAAGGACAGGCAGTGAAGCTAGACCTGGGCAGGGGGTGGGAGTCCAGGACTGAACTCTCCCCATCAGTCTTGGGGGGTGGTCTGGGGTAAGGCTAGGACTTCCTGGGAGAAGGAAGGCCAAGGGAGAGTGGAGAAATATACCAGAGCTGGGGACCTGCAGAAAAAATTAGTGCTTAGGGGTAGAGAGCTCCACCCTTCAGTCTGTGTCATGGTCACTGTCCAAAGGCTGCCACCTGTCCCTGTCCCTGGCTGCTGCTGCTTCTCACACCTTAGCCAGTTGCCTGCCTCTGCTTCCCACTTCCTCTTTTTTCCTTTGCCACCTTTCTTCCTACAGTCCTTTCTTCCTTCATCAGTCTGACATCTTTCACTTCCTTTTAGACTAATCCACTTTAGCTTTGTTGCTATATTTAGAATGTATGCCCAGTCTAGTTCCAAAAATGATTTTAGACCACCGTAAAATAAAATCACAAGTAAAGGCATAGGACAGTGCAAACTGAGTTTGCAAGAGAAATCAGAGCCATAGAGAAGAATGGGGACAAAAGTCTCTGCGGTTGAGTGCTGCAATTGGCCCTGAACTTGTGGGCAGCCAAGGCAAAAGGAGGCACAGCAAATAAAGTCCCTACTGCCTGGTTCAAGGAAGCATGTGGTTGGGTCAAGTGAGACAAACATTTTTGGGCATTAAGTTCTAGAGGAACTAACTAGTTCTAAAGAAGTAGCAAAAGCGATGTACAATTTTTTTTCCAGCAGTTTGACATAAGAGACAATTTTTACAGTATAGCTTTTTTCTCTGTCAATATTCTTTCTCCTTTAAGCTGGCTTCTCTGTGGCTTCCTTCTCAGATATACTTATCCTGTCTTTACTTATTCTTTTCTGTTCTCCCCTATTTTTGTGCTGAAGCTAATTGCATTTATGTCTGTCTGTCTTTCTCTGCTTTACCCCGATGCCCCCTCCTCCCGACTCCTGTAGACATTCCAACAATACCCACAATCATACATACATTTATCTAGCCTTTTCTCGCCATTCCCTTCAACCTTGTATTTATTAATATATCCTTTTCCTCTTGTGTGTTTTACAAGTAAGTTACTCTTTTTCTTTTAGTCTGTCAGGTTGCTGAAATTTAGGTTCAAAAACTTTAGCCTTAGGAAAGCGAAAACACCTAGTTAGTGTTTACAATAACCTCAAACAACCTCCTGTCCCATCCCCTGGTCCAGCCCCAGGCGTTTCACTGATCCTCTACAAATCCCAGCGTTTCTAGTCTGCTATCACTCAGGTGCTAGGAAAACACACAGACTTAGACCCAAAAGTCATGGACCAGGAGAAAAGAGGTGGCAATCAGCTCGCCAGTGACCCAGAACCTATGGCTTCAGTCTTTCCTGGAGGCTTATCTTCTAATACAGCGCACATTCTCCCTGGCCCAGAGTCACTCCCAGACAGGCATCTGTTGGGATAGAATAGCAGCAGTGTTACAGCCCAGAGGCGGCTGCATTTCACCCCCGGAGGGGTCCCTGGCTTATAGTGAGCAGTCCTGTATGGAGACTAGGACTGGACGCCTAGGGCTAGCAGGGGCAGACCTACGGGTGAGGGTGGTGGGCGTTGGAGAGACTGAGGAGGAGAGTGGCACTTGGCGCCCTTAAACCATGACCTCGGCCTCTCTGGAGAAGCTTTTATATGTCTACTGCCAGCTGCTGGTCTCCACACCCTCAACCATTCTTAACCCCCCTGCAGGGAGAAGGCCTCCTCGGCACTGTCCTTCCACCTGTGCCCGCCACCCCCTGCCCCACTGCTGAATGAAGGCCATTTCAAGCTGCTGCTCCCTCCATGCCTCTCAGCTGTTATTGCTGCAGGGCCAAGCCCTCCTTAGCGCTGTGCTTGTCTAGCCCACCACCACAGCCCCCCTCAACAGATGGGAGGGGCAAGCCACCTCTTTAGGACAGTTGCTTCCTCTATTTACCCAAACCATCCCTCTTCTCCCAGTGGAATGGAGTTCTCGCCAGCACTGCCCTGCTCCATCATCTGTGTCAGCCGGTCCCAGCCCATCTGTAGGGAGAAAGAACTCATCAAGAGCTTCTTCTGCCCTTGCAAACCCATACGAGCTACTTGTAACCATCTCCGAGGGAAATGGCATTGCTCCCTCCCCATTCATCTGCATGAGCTACTCTTGGCTCCCTTCAAGGACCAAGAAAGCAACTTTTTGCTTGTCAGATTCGTGGATGTCAGCTGTTGTGAGCCCTGATGTGGGACAAGGGTGTCTCCTTCATTGCTTGAAGGTATTCTTAAGGATGGGTCACTCAGATGTGGGGGAGCAAGGGCTAGGATCACTTTTAAAAAATCTCCACTTGTGACTGGCCCAGAGTGTGGTTACACACCCTCCTCAACCTGTACTGTGGTCACTTAGGAAAAGTAGTTTTCCCCGGGGAGACGTTTCTAGAGCTGACGTCCTTACGCTTAAAGAACTTAAAGAACCCTCCCACAAAACCTCAGAGACCCATAAGATGTGAACTCTAGGAAGAAAAAAGACACCCTTCTGACCACTTAGCAATAAGGGGGATCTCTTCCCACCTACCCTGACTAACCCTGTCCCCCACCCCTGATAATGTGAGTAAGGAATTAGCCGGGCCACAGGTGGTTGCTCTAGGCTAATGGAAAATACCCAGTGGAGGGCGAAGTCCTCATTAGATGCATGAATGTTTGAGAATGTCGGCTGCCACTGCCCCACACACTGTGTCTTTATGGAATCCCCACCCCCCCATCTCCACCTGGACACAACTTGCTCAAAGGCTGGTGACTTGTGGGCCATTCATCTCCAACCAAGTCCTGATGGCTCAAAAGGCCCAAGCCTAGGGGATGCAAGAACGACCCATTTCTTCTTAAATGTTACCAGTCCCAGCCAACCTTTTGGTGACATAATGGCTAAACGTCCCAATTGAAAACAAGCCAACAGACAGACACAAACTGGTCATGTAAATGTTGCTAGACTTTGTGTTGTACAACTAAACATTGCTGTTTGAAGAATAACTGCCTCGCCTGTGTCTTATTTGTGCCCCTCACTCCTTGCCCAAATGAGCCACCACATCATCTCCCGCATCTGTGGAAGGTGTGGCATGAACTGTCTCGGTAAGAAGTAAAACCAAACCAAAACCATTGCTGTCAAGTCAATTCTGACTCAAAAGTAGCCACAGAAATTTCACATGGGAATCATTTTGTGAGGTCAGTTCATCTTCAGTTGGCATGAGGTCATATCTCAGTCATTCTTCTCTGGGGTTTTTGTATCCAAAATGAGTGATGGGGCTATCTCACTTGACCTTGAGGAATGCTGTGCTCTACACCGCCTGTTTCCCTCAATGGAAACAATGTTTACTTTCATTCAATTGATTTTCCAGCTTTCTCCTGAAGGCATAAAGACTACCTCAAGTAGAATGCAAAATGGTATAGCTGCTGTGGAAAACAGTTTGACGGTTCCTCAAAAAGTTAAACATAGAATTACCACATGAGGGATTGGACCAGACTGTGGGACATAAAGTGATATTCGCGAGGAGTGTGCTTCTTAGCTCAAGTAGATACAAGAGACTAAACGGGCAGCTTCTGTGCGGAGGTGAGATGGGAAGGCAGAGAGGGTTAGGAGCTGGTTGAATGGACATGGAGAAGCAGGGGTGGAAACGAGGAGTGTGCTGTCACAGTATGGGGAGAGCAATTAGGGTCACATAACAACGTATGTATAAATTTTTGTATGGGAGACTGACTTGAGATGTAAACTTCATTAAAAGTACCACAATAAACAACAACAAAAAAAGAATTACCATATGACCCAGCAATTCCTATACCCAAGAGACCTGAAAACAGCAACGTGAACAGGCACGTACACCAATGTTCATTGCAGCACTATTCACAGTAGCCAAAAAATGGAAACAGCCTAAGTGTCCACATGAACAGATGAATAGATAAACAAAATGTACAAACAAAATGGAATACTACTCAGCCTGATCTATACTGCAACATGGACGAGCTTTAAAAACCTTATGCTCAGTGAAATTAGTCAATTACAAAAGGATAAATATCGTATGATCTCACTTATATGAAATAACCGGAATAGGCAAGTGTATAGAGACCAAAGTTTATTAGTAGTTACCAGGGACGGGAGGGAGAGGGAAAGGGAGAACCATTATTTATGAAGCAATGAGTGTTTATAGTGACGGGAAATTTGGCAATGATTATGGGTGAAGTTTGCACAATATGATTAATTGATATCACTAAATTGTACACCTGAAAAATTTTTTTTTTTGCCAAAAAAAAAAAAAGACTATCCCAGGTTTATGGAAGCAGTGGGCCCATCTTGCCTGGAGATGTCCCCATTTTACAGTGAATGCTTTTATTTAAGAGTTGAGGATTTAAATTTAAGGCGCTAGCTTATCTTTTCCTTGGACCTGAACCAATCCTTTCTCTCCTTGAGGTACACATTCTTCTGCAGCCAATAGATAACACAATTCTCACCTGTATATTATTTCTGTGAATTTGAATGTGACAACTATGCAATTATGTTTACCATACTGTAATGTTGTATCAGGGCCTGTCTACATTCGGGAGGAATAAGAATCAGGATCAGCACAAAGCTGGTTCCTGTAAGGTGGAGGCCAGACATACCTCCACTCTCTGAGTTCTTAACCATTTCTGACACCAGCTAGCCCTCCCACCCCCTGGTCCCTATAAATATGGATCTCTTTAAAGATCTCTTTAGATTTATGCCTATTCCAAAGAAAGGTGATCCAAGAGAATGTGGAAACTATCGAACACTATCGTTAATATTACACGCAAGTAAAATTTTGCTAAAGATCATTCAAAAGTTGCTGCAGCAGTATATTGACAGGGAACTGCCAGAAATTCGAGCTGTATTCAAAAGGGGACGTGGAACGAGGGATGTCATTGCTGATGTCAGATGGATAGTGGCTGAAAGCAGAGAATACCACGAAGATGTTTACCTGTGTTTTATTGACTATGTAAAGGCATTTGACTGTGTGGATCATAACAAATTATGGATAACATTGCAAAGAATGAGAATTCCAGAAGACTTAATTGTGCTCATGAGGAATCTGTACATAGATCAAGAGGCAGTCGTTCAGACAGAACAAGGAGATACTGAGTGGTATAAAGTCAGGAAAGGTGTGCTTCAGGGTTATATCTTTTCACCATACTTAGTCAGTCGGTATGCTGAGCAAATAATCCAAGAAGCTGGACTATATGAAGAAGAACGGGGCATCAGGATTGGAGGAAGACTCATTAACAACCTGCATTATGCAGATGACACAAGCTTGCTTGCTGAAAGTGAAGAGGACCTGAAGCACTTACTGATGAAGTTAAAGACCACAGCCTTCAGTATGGATTACACCTCAACATAAAGAAAAAAATTCTCAC